ATTGGATGTGGATTGCCACAAACCCCCAAATCCCACTGTCCTTGGAGTGGATTCCAACTCACAGCAACCCTGCAGAACAGAGGGGAACTATCCCATAGCTGCTCCAAAGCTGTCATATTACGGAAACTGGCTGTCGTGTCTTCCTGCTGCAGAACAGTGGCTGGCTTCGAACCTCCCACCTTTCAGTTAACAGCTGAGCACTTTCCCCACAGTGCCACCAGAGTGCCCTCATCCTGAGTGTAGACATTCTTTCACCCCATACCGAGGGATGTGAGCTTTATTGGATTGGTAATTTGAAGCAATTGAAGATGTTGGAGCAACTTGTTGGCAATGAAAACCACCTTGTGGGAAGACTAATTCTGTGGTCATGCGTTTTCAGAGGTGCCAAAAGAAAAGAAAAGGGTGAGCCAGTGAGACGGAGAATGCAGGTGTACACTTAGCGGGCTCACGAAGTGATTCAAACACAAGTTGTTCAGGAATAAAAGGCTTACAAGGAAAGAAAAACCTGGAAAGGTGTTAAAGAAAGTGAGGAAGAAAGGATGAAGGAGATACGATAATGAGGCAGAAAGATAAAGCAAACACTGCTCTATGCCCACGTGACTGGGAGAGTGACATTGCTATTGATAGGATTAAGGCTGTATAGACACAGTATTAGACCTTATACTACTGGGCCTCACATCTTTGAAATTTGGTATTTGTTTATCTAACTTCTATGATATAGCTCCTGATTAATTAAACTCTTTAATTAACTAGATCCTCCATTCCTTAATCACGCCGGATATCACAGAGCTTACTAAATGCAGAGGCTATCCATTTTGACCCCAGTGAGAGAGCGGGGAATTTTTGTTACATTTTAGGACATCATTCTGGGACTCCAGTGTTTGTAAGTTAGGTATTTACCTGTGTCTTCTTTGGTTGTTGAACGTCTGGGGAAGTAGACGCAGTAGGTCAGAGAGAAATTAGTGTGAGCACCACTCAGCTTCTCGGGACTTTTCCGGCCAGGCAGCTCTTGCTTAGTGGAAGCCTGCACCATCTTTTCTGGTCAGATAGGTGGCTGAGTGGGTTAAAGATCTGAACTGAAGCTCCACAATGGAGGCTCTTAGTAGATTAAGTCTCAGTCAAGGTTCCATGTCTGTCCACAGTGACTCTGAACCCTACTTCACACAAGGAGACAACAGAATCGGAGGAAAATATTGGAAGGCTCATTACACGGAGTATACTGATGCAACTTTTACGCGAAGAAAGAGAGTCTCTGAGGCAGAAGCACATCTTGGGATTCTTGGTACAGTGAATCCATTCCTCATGCTTTGAGTGTGGGACCTGTTTGAGTTGGGTAAACATAGCTACACAGAATGTTATGGGAGGGATTTTAGCAGCGTATAGATCTCCATAGAACGGCTCTTCTTCTATTCACTTTCTGTGTCTGATCACCCTCTTCTGCCTCCTCTTTTCAATATTTTTTAGGACCCGTCATCAAGGCAGAAGTAGGCGATACCCTGTTGGTGACCTTCGCCAACAAAGCAGACAAGGTCTACAGTATGCTGCCCCACGGGGTGGTTTACGACAAGACGTCCGATGCAGCCCCGAACATCGATGGTGAGTCTCAGCCTGGGCATGGGAAGGAAGCAGGATCCAGACGAGTGAGCCAACGACTCAGAACTTGAATGGCCTGACTCAAATTCTGGATTCTTCCCTTATCATCTCTGTGAGGTTGGGCAACTATTTAAATTATCCAAAACTTATTCTCATCAAATGCAGATAATAATCTTATCAAAAGCAGAGCTTGAGGAGAAATAGAGAGAATTCAGGACAGGTTCTAGCCCACAGGAGTTTCTTAGGATATTTTCATTCCTTTCCCTTTACCTCAATAGCATAGGAAATATCAAAATGGGCTCCACTCATACCCACTTCCATTCCTTTAAACTAGAGAACTTTCTGCTGAAGGTTTCTTGCGACTCTGTAGGTGAAGGCTAAGGGAAAGTCTGATTGCCTGTGCTTTGTGGATAGCAGCACTTTAAACACGGTCTCTCCTCCATATCTACTAACAAATATTGGCGCATAATAAGTACTTTGTGCTTATCATCATATCTGGCATCTCCCCACCATCGAGCAGTTTGCAAATACCCTCCAGGGAAAAAAGGCAGCAGTGGCTGCAGGAACTATCCTTCCCTTCATGCCACTGCTCCTAGGAAACTCCTGGTCTTCTTGGTGCCCTTCTTCGCCCTTCGACAGACAGCCTCACTGCTGGAATACTTCTTCATGTCCAAATGCAAGTCCAAGCCTGTAGAGAGCGGGCTATGTAGTGAAGGTGAGAGGACAGAGGAGGTAGGAATGGAGGTAGCATTGCCTTGCCCCAGACCCATCTGCACTCTGACTCTGCTCTGTTTCCCTGGACCTGCTCTCTTTCCTTTCAGAGGTCAAAATGTGCCAAATGTCATTGTGTGTGTGTGCCTGATGAATACTAATAACACCCTAAATGTTTGTATTTGCTGTTTTTTCCAATGAAAACAATGTACCGAACCGTATTTTGCAAAGCACTAAAATCTAAAGGCCATCTCTGACCTCAGTCCAGTAGGAGAGAGCCAATGTGCTCATGGGACAATGTTGCGTGGGGTCTAGAGCACGCTTTGGAATTTGACAGACTTGAAATTGACATCCTTGATTGTCATTTGCCCCCTTTTAATCTTGGTCATTTGTTTCCTGCCTCTATCTAGTTGTTATTTGGGTTGTTTCCCAATTCACTTTCCTAGATTGCAAACTCTTTAAAGAGAAGGCTTTTGCTGAATATTTTGAGAATCGTTCACAAGTTTAAGTCAAAATAGAGTCCACGTGGAAGACACTCATCAGTATTTTATAGACTTTCCTTGAATTGTTGAATCAGCAAAATTTTTAAATACTTGTCTACCTTGATATGTTCGAGAAAAATAATATGAAACCTAGGAAGAAAATACCCCTTTGATTTGCGCCTCTAGCTTATCAAGCAGTAGACCCTGGCTGCGGCTTCCCCTGATACAATAGCAAGACAGAACAGTTGTCCTCATGCCAAATGTGTCACCACCAGAGAAAGATCCCGGGCTGGAGACCCAGTCTGACAAGTTTAACCTTCTCAGCTATGGCTTGGAGTAATTGTCTCCTTTGTCTTCACAGGGTTTCTGAAACCAGGGGCACATGTGAAGCCAGGTGAAACCTTCACCTACAGATGGACGGTGCCCGAAAGCGTAAGCCCGACCGATGGCGACCCACCCTGTCTGACCTATCTTTACTTCTCAGCAGTGGAGCCCATCAAGGACACCAGCTCTGGCCTTGTGGGGCCTCTGCTGGTCTGTAAAAGGGGCACTCTCAATGCCGATGGGACACAGGTAGGCCATGAAACACCACCATGTTCTCGGGGTTACACGTGGGACAGATCAATGCTGAGATCAAAACTCACTGCCACCAATTCACTTCTGATTCATAGTGACCCTCTGGGATGGACTAGAACTATCCCAATGGGTTTCTGAAACTGTAACTCTTTACAGGGTAAGAAAGCCCTATCTTTCTCCCCAGAGTGGCTGGTGGTTTCTAACTGCTGTGCCTGCGCTTAGCAGCCCAACTAGTCACTACTAAGCCACCAGGCCTCCTGTGAGATAGCTAGAGACTAGATAACGATAAGGGTCAGTTATAAATATCAATTTCTCTTATCATTATCAGTGTTTCCTCTTGCAATGGACTCTGACAGCATGGTTGTTGTCATAAAATTGAGATCTGAATCGCCAACTTATAAAAGCCCACCCAGGAACCCAGAGTTTCCACTTGCTATCAGCTGGTGTCCCATGGGCCCTGGTCTTTTGCATTGCTTTCCTTCTGGAATCTTCATAGAGCCACATGGAATACTTCTTGGATACTTTCCTCATTGATGGGAGTTCTCAAACTTGGTTGCACACTAAACAGCCTGGGGACCTTTAAGACATTCATTCACTCAGTCCCCCCACACTGTGAGATCCAGCCACATCCTGACAGATCCTACGGATGGTTGTTTAATTGAAGGGAAGAAATTAGGAGAGAGACAAAAATTTGGAAGTGCTCACTTCTGCCATGGCTTCAGGAGCCAGGTCTGAGCATCATTCTCGGCATCATTTTATATACTGTCCGGGCATGCAAGCCCCTCTAATTACAGGTAACCACATACACAACAAAGTGGGCTGTGCCCAAACCCTAGAGGTCCCTGAGTTTATTGGAGGAGTAACCTAACATCAGTGCTTGGGGCAGTAAGGGGGAGTGACCGTCCCCTGAACAGGGAGAGCAATTGCAACATGCCTGCTCCTATAGATAAAGCTCCTGGCCAGATAGCAATCAGTCCTGTGCCTGTAAGAGGTAATTTTAAGGCACCACTATTATGGGAGGATATTGCAGAGATTGATCTTAATTATGAGAATATGAATCATCTTTAACCACAAATGTGAAGGTCTCTCCCCCTCCACCCAAAATCCTGGCCTGCCAGGCTTCTTAAAATATGAGAGTAAGGAACTCATCCACATGCATGGTCTTCCCAATCCTCTGTTTCCTATACCACACCACACCAATTAAATCAGATTCTTCAGGTGGTTTTAATAGGCAGCCAAGGTTGAGAGCCATGGCTCTAACTCAGGTGGCTGTGAACTGGAAGTTAATCCTGATGGCTGAAGCAATAAGAAAGGCAGGTACAATAAGAAAACCAGGAAGCTTGGAGCATTGCACTGATTAGTGTGGCAAAGCCTTGCCTTTCAACTATGTCTATATGACAGTAAACACGAATGACATTAATGAAAGATGACACTCCACTTAGTGTACTATTTGGACAAGAACATTTATTTAAATGCTATATTTTAGAGCATCTAACAGTGTATGGACCCACTTCTGGGAATAAAGGAATTTCAAGGTTTAGAGGACCCAAAATATCTTAGTCTACCCAGACTTTCATATCCCTGCACCAAAGACCGATCCTGGAAATATCTGCGGGGGGCTCGGTGGGTTCCTGGCTCTGCGGCTGGGACCTCAATACAGCACGTGCAGTGA